TAATCGCGCTTCCCGAATGATAATTCAAGCGAGCGATCGCATCCTTCACGTTAATTTGCTTACGGTCCACATGGATTTGTGAAAACAATTTGATGGTGATTGATAACGTTCATTTTTGAAAAAACAAACTAAGTCGGCAAATTTATGCCAGCGCAATTGACTGGCTACGTAAAAAGTTAGCCTATAGTTGCAAGGAGCAACCCACAGCTAAACCTCTTCATATCGCTGCGCCGTTAGAACTAGCGTTGGTTGAGTCTGAAGCAGCGAAACTGAATACAAAAACTTCTAAGAAACCGAACATTTTGGCAGCACTTGTGCACAGTTTAAAATTAAAGCCTCCTTCTACAAAATAGTGTATGGTTTATACAGAAATTTTGGGGCTGCTAGACTAGTAGTGTTTGAAAATGTTTTTCAAAAGGGTTAAAAAAAGTCCAACCACCAGCTTGATTTCTCTGGATTGTGAGACACTCGAAGTTCACAAAAACGATACCTAGGGAGTTAATAATTTATGCTGATACAAGAATCATAACCATTTTCATATGATCCTACTTAAAATTGCCCTAAGTGTACGCTGTAAGGACAAATTCATTTGCATGGAAAGTGTGTTATTGGAGTGAATTGACGTAGTAATTGAAAAAATCATAATCATTCCCTTGATAAAGCTATTCGCCGTGTGGACATGAAATCATTCAGTTTTCTTTTTCAATATCAATGATTTTGACCTTACCCTTGTATATCCACCATACTTTCACAGTTAGAGTTTATTGCGGGATGTGGGTATCGTTATTGTGATAAGCATGTTAAATAAGCCCAGACCATTTTTGAGAACCTATTATTTTGATCAATGTTGCCAATATACCTACCGTGATTCCCCATTCCTGTCGCGAAGAATGGGTGATATTCTCGTAATAAGTTCAAGAGATAAAATTGACCAAAGAGTTCAGGTCTGGAACAATTTTACACCCCTGATGAAATTAAAACATATCGTTTGCTGGACACAGGGCAACAGTACTCCAGAAATCCAAACACTACTAATATCTACAATACAAAACTGTCAAGTATCCAAAGTTTGATTTTTAGCCTTTTTCAATCGAAACGCCCCGAGTTCTCAGATTCGTTATACAATCGAAAAAATATATACTTCCTCTTCAAAATTTCATTCAACTTATATAATTTGCTCATATCGTTGGAATTATTCGATTAAATCATTGTAGAAACTGCGTTATAAAGCGATTTGGCGTGACTTTGATGGAGATCCTGAATAGGTGAAAAGATGTTCTCATAATCGAGCAAATGAGATACTGCATCATCCGTTGCTCTGATCCATGTCCATAGGTTCATTTTCATCTCTTTGATTCAAGAAACCTACGAATAATCAGGTACATAGAGAACCAACTTCTGAAAGTACAGTATACGTACTCATATTGGTTTCGTCCTCCTGCTCGGTATTTCCTGGTGACATCATACCAGCTTGAGGAATTCGATAACATGCTACTACACCATCTTCTCCACCAGAAACAAGATGTCGGCCGGTAGGTAAGAATACGACAGCAGTTACCTGAGCAGTGTCGATACTAATCTAACGTTATCGAATACTGAGTCTATAAGGCATGAAATTATGAAGAAAAGCCAAATAACCAACCGATCCAGTGTGTGCGCTTGGTAGGAGTTGAAGAGCAGTAGGTTGTTCGATATGCCACAATAGAATCTGCACATGTTTCCATAAGAATTAAAAATTAAAACTCTCGTACAAAATACATGAGGACATGGATTACATAAAGAAAAGTGAGATGTAGAGGGCAGGACATGGAATAAAGCAAATGGGAGATGTAAAGGAAAATACGTCAAGAAGCTTGTCTCATGGCTTTCAAAATTCGTAAAAAAGTCTTCGAATTTTTCCTGAGTTCAAAAATCTAAACCTCTCGAAAGTGGAGGTATCTGATCAGACAAGGTTA